TTGCATAGCTTTCATATTTAGAACACAGGATAATTGCTACATCAGAATGCCTAAAATTCATCCCTGGTTTAAAAATTGATGCACTATGAGGGGGTGATGAAGAATTTCCTCCATGAATGATTTGATGTGGCCCAGGTTTGAAGAATGTAAATGGAAACATCTCCAATTCAGGTACACCTTCAAATATTTTTTGCATCATCCTAACAAACAGCTCTGCTTTTTTCTGCCCTGAAGATATCCCAAAGGTAAGTGTTTTGGGAGGTGCACCCAATCTCCACTGCTGAAAGTTGTTTTTACTGTTTGGGGCCTCTTCTTACATCCAAAGTGCTCCATATATAATTTTACACATAGGTAAAGCTTCGTACAGGGAGGTTAAATGAGTAACTCTTAATGATATAAATAGTAATTGAGCAACAATATTGTTCAGGGAGCTCTGAGAATGTGGGATTTGCAAACATGTGCCCACTATCACTAGAAAGACACTATCAATGAAGTCTTTATTTAGTGTTTCTGAAGGCTATTTCAGAAATGATTCATTTAATAGAGTATGTCTTTTTGGACTACTGTAGGGATTTTAAAACCAACCCTTGCAAGCGGCCTAAAATTCTTCAGGTAAATGAGACAGGAATCCTATAAGTGGCATTTATCTAGAAAATGAGTGGCAGTAGCAGAACTTTAATGTACAAGAGCTGGAGTGGTACAGAAATCATAAACTGATGGAAGTTAACATTAAGTATCTGTAGGTGACTGGGGGTCTGATTCAAAGCCCATTTAAGTCAATGGAAAGATTCACATGGACTTCCATGGATTATAGCTCATACTCCTACTCATCTTTCTTAAGATCTTACAACTAATTTGCATATATTCCTCAGCTTGGATGGAACCATTTGATACATACACTAGAAGAGATGAGACTCTTGTCTATAACAGATTTTTATATACTTTTTACTAAAGCAAAGATACAATGCAATATTAACAGACTACAGCATATAGTCTTTATTACTTACTTGGAATCAAGTTAATATTCAATGGTTCTAAAGGAACTAGATTCTCTGAGTATGCTAAAAAGGGTGACTGCATTTCTAAATATCTGTCCTTTTTTGGCACTTCTCTTATGTCCTTGCTGTGAAAGCTTCTCCATTACACAGACATTCCACATTTTACGTACCATAATTCCTTCATATCCGTTTCTTTCCACTCAGTTCTGCTCCAGCACAAGTGGACTGGATATGATTCACCTTTTCAGATAGATGTGTCATCTTGACAGTTAACTGAATGTAGATGAGCGAAATGGAGAAAAGTGTGGGTCTTAAAACTCTAGCGTTACTCTTCTCTGTTTCTTGAGTCACGGTGCCCTACAGTATGCTAACCACTTTCCAAAGATAAAAAGCACAGTTCCTACTTAAAAGAACTCACATGGATGGAAGGTAGAAAAAGAAGTCTAACATACAAATAAATAAAGGAACTTTATGATCATAAGCAACGTTTTGATTGTAACTAAGTGATCCAGGGTGGAGGTATAATTCTTTTTGTCATAGATATGTAGACTGGTTCTGAATAATTCTGTACCTTTGTTGTTGCTATAAATTGGTTAAATTTTGGTAGTGGTTAGAATAACAGTAGGCTTTCAACATGTATGTGAATGAGGCGAAGGAAGTGGCTCTATAGACCAGCTCAGAAAGAGCCTTTCATGCATGACAGGAGGGCTATTGACAAAGCACAGAGATAAGCAGTTTAAATGGCACCCGTGGCAACAGGGAGGGAAGGGAAGCGATGTGAAAAAAAAGCCAGAGAGAACAAGTAAAGAGAATTTTGAAAGTCAGGACAACAAGCTTGAAGCAATAGGCTGGACACATGGAAGCCAGACGATGCCTCACAGGGGGAATGACATTATGAAACTATCAGGCAAAGAAACAATCTTAACTTTCAGAGAGGTAGCTCTATTAGCCTTTTTAAAAAAAACAACAACAACGAGTCTGGTGGCACTTCAAAGACTAACAAATTTTTTAGGGCATTAAGGCATAAGCTTCCATGAGATACAATTCACTTCCTCAAATGCTGAAAAGAAAAAAGGAAGGGATACAGAGATGGGAGTGTGACATCAGAGCTAATTAACTGAGAGTGGATGTGGGTCATCTCCAATAGTGGTGAGGTGAGATTACCGGAATAGGAAATTACTTATTGTAATGTGAGAACCACTCCATATGTCTATTTAAACTATTTTCAGGGTGTGAAATTTGCATATGAATTCCTGCTCAGCAGTTTCTCCTTGCAGTCTGATTTTGAAGGTTTTTTTGCCTGAGAGTGGTAACTTGCAAGTCAGAAACTGTGTGCCCAGTGAGGTTAAAGGGCTCCCCAATGGTTTTCGTATGTTGCTGTTCTTAATGTCTGATTTGTGTCCATTTATTCTTTTGCATAGAGACAGTCCAGTTTGTCCATTGTACATGGCAGAGGGGCAATGTTGGCACATGATGGCTTAGATCACATTAGTAGGTGTGCACGTGAATGCGTCTATGATGGATAGCTGATGTGGGTAGGTCCTATGACGGTGTCACTAGGGTAAATATGCAGACAGAGTTGGCAACAGAGTTTTTTGCAAGGATAGGTTCCTGGATTAACATTTCTGTTGTGAGGTGTGAAGTTGATGGTGAATATTTGTCTCGGGCTGTGGAGCTGGACGAGGTCAGTGTGAGTGTTTGGGCATGCAGAGTGAGATTACAATAGTAGATGATGAAGGCCTGGTTGAGAGCTTTGGCTGAAGGCATAGAAGGAAATGGATAGATTTTAGAGATTTGTTTGGTCAAAATAATAACAAGATTTGGTTCCATCTCAGCCATGTGGGGCAATTGCACATGATCAAGATCATTTATTTACAGCAGTGCTTATAATGTACTAGGTGCTGTGCAAACATTCAAGAAGGGGCAGCGCATGCATGGAAGAATTCACAGTCTAAGAACAGCCTATGGAGGAGGTAGAGGATAGGGATAAGGAAACAGTTGTGTTAGGCTCAGCTTGTTTCCTCAGAATATCAAAAATGTCACAAAACTGGCCATTTCCTTGGATTTTCCATTTATTCCCTTCAGTGTATTTGCTTCTCAGCAAGAGTCTTGCAGAATCAAGGAAATGAAAAAAGAAAACTGATTGTCACAGCATTTCCTAAGGCTGTAAAGATATCCACCCCCCAATCACCATTTTGGTGCAATCATTGGGGAGAGTGATCAGAGATGGTTAAGCAGCATGATGATGGATGCTTAAGAGGCCAGCAGGCAGTAATTTCAACTCTGTATAAAATATTATCAGCTTGAAAAAAGTATCTACTAAGACACGAGAGCAAGTTACCTGTTTGCAGCCATACCTGAAGCATTTTTTCCAATAACCTAATGATCTCTTCCTCAGAGGAAAGGCTGCATTATAAAAATACTGCAATATGAAGGGACTTCACTGGGAAATGTAACTAACTTCAAATTCCCATCTTAATATACTTATTTTATCGCCAGGCCAACATCAGAATGCACACACCACTGAATCTAAAAATATACAAGGAAATGGAAATGCTTCCTTAATGATGAGTTAGTGAATTAAATCTGAAGAAGAGAACACAGACACCACATTCAATAAAGTACTAATATACATGCCTAACTTTACACATGTGAGAAGTCCTACTGACAGCAGTGGCTTGAATCTGAAGTTCTGCAGCTAAAGAGTTGGCTTCTAACTTGCTTCAACTTTGACCTGAGTGGGAGAGTAATTCATTTTCCATAGCATTCAATTATTGGGATCTCGGCTCAGGCTGCTAACATCAGTGCTAGTAGTTTCTGATGTACGCACCCATCTACTCATACAGAACTGATACCTCAATTCATTTATGTAATCTAGTGCACAGCTGGCCAAGAGTAAAGTATAAAACTCCATCTACATTGGGAAACTGGCCCATTCCTGCCAATACTTGTCTGCAATGAAACTCTGACCTGATGATGAAAAGGGTTTTACTTCTAGTATAGGTAGGATAAGAGCAATTTCAGCATCACTGCAAATAACTAAGTCTTGCTTTACTTGCATCTCTTTTCAGGTATGCCTTCTGAGCAGCTAGCGGAGTAATTTCCAACTCGAGGAAATGTACCAGATAAAAACAGAAGTGTAGCCATAGCAGTGTAATCATCACAGGGGACTAGTCACCTTGCATACCTAGCGTCTCAGGTGGTCAATAGGAATGTTTTGTCTGAAACATGAGAAGGACAGTACAATGGGAAGTAACAACCACGTCAGGAAACATGTAAGGGGATAAGTTGTCTATCCCAGATTGTTTGTCTCAGTCTGTAAATGTCAGACTATTTAATTTTAACTCTTCATCAACTAAGGGGAGAATGGAAAGTCCTGCCAATCACTGAGCCAATTCACTGTCATGAGCATACATGTTTTAGTGTACCTGTAATCATTGAGCCAGGGCATTTGCACTGTGCTTCAATGGCAATAAAGCTAACCAAGTTCCTTCACTGAAAACTGAGTCTGTGGATTTATTGGGCAGTTCGATCAGAGCCTGCAGAAAGGCCTCATGCATGCAGCCAAACACCTGATGACACCCCCAACCTGATCCTACTTCCATGTAAGTCAATGGCAAAGCAACTCCTGACTTCTATTGGAACAGGAGCAGGCCTTGATTTGTAAATGGATATACGTATCCTTTGTTGCACAGCCTTCCTTTGAACCTGGCCAAACCCAAATATGGAATGCAACATATGATCAAGACCCAAAATGAGGGGCACTCAAAAATGTTATGCATGAAATTTAAAAAACTTTTTCTATAATCTCAGGTCCATGATTCTCCATTGCTGAAGTAAAGAATCTTCAAAGTGAAGGGACATTAGATTTGTTTGGTTTTTTTTTGGGGGGGGGAGTGACTGTCCCTTGGAAGGAGGGATCACTTATGGGCTGTCCCATGTTAAATAGTAATATCCACTGGAATTGGCTGTGACATAAAGAAACAAAGTGAATTAATAATGTTTCATTTGTTTGTATCCATGATTCAATCATTCTTTATTATTAGGTATTGTATTTGTGGTTTTTTTCCAAATTAATTGATTACAATTTTTCGGAGAATCTTACAAGGCAATTTAGCTATACAGCAAGCTGGGCAATCTAGAGCTTCCGGAGGATCGGACAAAACTTTCCATTCCCCTGTCTTTTGGTCTAACAGGTAAGCATTTGGATTGACAGAATAATCTTCAGGACGCTTGTCACCTGAACAAATGATGCCTCCACACACAAACACCTTGTTGTCACCAATAGAGCAAACTGCATGTGACAAATCCAAAGTATAGTTATTTGGCAAGAGAGGCACAGTGTTCATGGACTTGTTGGCTTTAAGCTTCTGCAGGTTTATGTCAAGACTTTGTTTGTGACTCTTCACACTCAGGATGTTGTCCTGTTGAAAAGACAACAGAGGTTTGTGATTGAAATCAATGGGAAAAGTGAGGTACTGTACCACTTCCCCAGTCTGAGTATTAAAGCAATCCACCATCCCTACTCGGGAGAAACGCCCATTGACCAGACATCTCCCTGTCACAATATAAATAAACTTGTCTTCCTTTGTGATCAATGCAGTTGCATCCATAGGAATGCTCATCTTCCCAGCCAGAGTCCACTTCTCTTTCCTCTCTTCATACTTGTAGATGTTAGAGACGTATTTTCTTGGAGCTGTGCTACCTCCTACAGAGTACACCACTCCCCCACACGTTATCATGGTATGGAAGACCAAACCTATAGGCAGATCAGGCAGTTTAGTCCAGGAGTTGTTATCTAGATCATACCGCCAAGCAGTCTTTAAGCCAGATATCTGCTCTGTTGTTCCCCCAGAGACGTAGATGTACCTCCCAACTGAAGTTGCACTGAGAGCAGCTGCTTTATACGGCATCTCTGTTAGTTTTAGCCACATGTTCTCCTCAATAATGTAAGCAAAAACTCCATCATTGAATCTACCATGCTCTTTCTGGCCTCCTAAAACCACCACAGAGTCCATTAAGGCCCCCTTTCTTTGGAAAAGCAGCAGACTTTGAGGATTTTCTTGCTTTCTGTCACTCAAAATGGTCTCCATCTGGGCCAGGGGGCCAGAGTGACTCTCAAACAGCAGCACTTCACGGCTGGCAGCCAGCAGCGTCTTGGTCGAGACACCAGTTAAATGAATGTAGGGGAAGAACTTTCTGAAATACTTATCCCTTTCTCCCCTTTTGTGCTTCACCCACTGGAGCAGGGCAAGGAAGGCTTGGTCCTCGTTCTGCACGTGAAGGTTCTCGTCCCTGAGCAGCTTGCCAAAGATCTGGTGGGGGCAGCGAAGGAGGTCTGAAATTCCCTCTGGGCCCGACCAGTAGTGGAAGTTGTCACGGATACCAGCATAGGCACTGTTGGCTACCTCTTTCAGCTCATAAGTATTGGCTAGGAACAGGTAGCACAGGCAGTTGTTCTTCTTGAGGGACCTGAGGAGGAAGTCAGAGCAGTGGGCTCTTAGGGACTCTGAGTTGAAGTAGTTAGCTCCCTTCAGCAACTCCTCCACATTCTTCTCAGACACCAACACCTTACCAGTGTAAAAATAGTCCAGCAGCTGCTCCACCAACATAGGGTTCAGGAAGCTAGCATCGATGATGATGAAGAGTTCATCACCAATCTTCATGTCATTGCTTGAGATCAGGTTCTTCACATGGGTAGACACAGCTGCCAAGACATTGAGGTGGGCAGAGAAGACCTGCTGGTCCACGCTGAGTACCACATCACAGAACTCCCTGTTCTTTCTCTGCTTGTTGAGGGCCTGTAGGACAAAGCTGTTGTGGTTCTTTTCTGTGAACTGCATCCTCATGTTTTTATACAGTTGGGCAAAAAACAGGGAGGAGAGTGCAAGCTGTAGGAGGACTACTTGTCAGTTATTATGAAAGCCTCACTTGATGACAGAGGAGTGATGTCATCAGGCATAGCGGCCAGGTCACAATTCAACACTTGTGACACGTAGAAAAAGAGTCTTTTAACAATCTGGTTAGCTGTGGTATAGAGAGAGTATTAATTGTTGTAGTATCCAGGCATGGAGATAGTAAAATAAGAGAGGCATAAGACAAACCAACCTGGGCTCTGCTCTCACCTACCGGGGGTAAGAGCAATATATAACGTATTGACATACATTTTTGCCCCATCGCTAAGGATAGTTTAGGCTTTTGCACTGAGCTTTCCAGTTGGTGAGTGTGGAATGTGTTCTGGACTCCTGTAGATTATTTCACTGTGTAGGGTCCGGCACCCAATCCAGCTGCCAATATTTTTATTCTAGGAACATCCACGTTCCCGAGAAGCACTGTGGTCTTGTCTGCATAGGTGCTGGAACAATTTGTATAGTGGGGGTGCTGAAAGTCATTAATTAAAACTGTAAAGCCTGTTATAATGGGAACCACTTCAAGCAGGAGGTTCTGCCACACACCAGCATTCCTAGTTCCTGCCCCTATCCATGTATGAGGAGGTGACCCGGAATGCAGCTCATGAAAGGCTCTGAGGTTTAGGGCTGGATCTTGAACTGGGCCCATCCCTAGAAGTGGAGTGTGGAACTCTGATGTGTATTCCTTGCTTCTGCCAGGTGAAGAAGCTGGAGTTTTGGGTTGATCCTCACCCAAAGTAGAGCTGGAGTTTTGGGTTTGTCAGCCAAAGTAGAGGGAGTTACAGTCACCCGATCTAGAGGTGACAAACATTGATGTGAGCGCTGTCTGATTAAAGAGGTGAAATCTCTTGGATATACAGAGGTGGAAGAAGACATTCCTGGTATTGCTGTTACCTGGTTCCCAAGATTCAGAGATGTCTCTTGAAGTATTCCAATGCTTCATATTACCTGGGCAATCTTGACAGGCACCTTTGGTGGAGGTTGGGGTTATGGTCTTTTTAAGATCCTCAGACTGTTTACCTCTTCCTGTCAGCTATCACTTTTCTCTCACCTGGATTGAGTGTCAGTCAGGTGCTTGTCTCTTGTAGGCATTGTGATGTCCGTGTCTCATCTGTGGGCTTATCTCACACAGGCTTTGTGACACCAGCACTAGTGAGAATGAGCTGAAAAGCATGTTGGTGACACCAGCACATCGATGGCACTGGACAATGCCTAATCATTTTCCTTAGGGTTGTTGAAAAGGAGAGGGCAGGACTGATCCTTGCATGTGGGCTGTTACTCATCACTACTCTTTGATCTGTTAGTTAGAGAGAAGCAACTGAATCCAGGTTTGAATAATACAGCTCATCCAAACAGGTGATAAAAGCAAGTCAGTAGGATTGTGCAGCTGAAACTGATGAATAGATCAAGAAGTAGAAGTATAGAGGTTTGGGCTCTACTTACAACAGAGCCATCTATACTGGGTCTGCTCTGAACCCTGATCATGAAGGTTCTTGGATACTGGCAAATGTAAATTCTTTTGGAGCAATATCATAGATAATGTTTGTATGATTTTACTTAGGTAGGGGAGGTGATCATCTGTGAGACTGTTGTTGTCCAAAGCTGGTTTCTAAAAAACAGGCTGGACTAGAACATGCTACAGGCATGGGGACACACGGCCTTCCCTGAAAGAGGTGTTTGATCTAGCTAGTTTATGCTGGATTTCACCAGCCATGATTATTAGGGGTATGATTTTTGGAAGCCTTTCAGAGCTTCTAGTATTACCACAGTCCAGAATGCTTGCTGACTGTTGTTGTCCAAAGCTGGTTTCTAAAAAACAGGCTGGACTAGAACATGCTACAGGCATGGGGACACACGGCCTTCCCTGAAAGAGGTGTTTGATCTAGCTAGTTTATGCTGGATTTCACCAGCCATGATTATTAGGGGTATGATTTTTGGAAGCCTTTCAGAGCTTCTAGTATTACCACAGTCCAGAATGCTTGCTATCCCAGCATAGTTCTATTAACTTCACCAGGATTACACACCATAGCACTATGCTTTGAAGTAAGTAGTTGCAGGATTGGGCCCTAATTTTGTCCATGAAATCAATGAATCTACTTACACAAGTAAGGCGAGAAGGACTTGGCCCAGTCAATGTCATAATTTACTGGCTTCAAACCTGCTGGAGACACTCACACCATTCATTGCTGTGTGTCTATAAAATACTCTCTCTTTTTAAAATAAGAGACCCAAAGATTTGTTCAATATGTACATTAGCTTGTGTGCTAACCCCTCTCAGAATAGACAAAGCAGTATTGTTCTTTCTTGATCCTTCAACTAGTCTCCCAGCTTCATGTCTCTGCCCCCTTCTGCTACACCATGAAAACCTCATAATTTTGGGAGATTACAAAATCAGCCCATCGTCACAGTCCACTTCTTCTCTCTTCCCAAACTGCTGCCGCCCCTGTGAGATACTGACATCAGACACAAGCCAGCTCTGTAACACATAGAAACCAGGAATTCATGTTCTCAAGGCATCTTTCTTTTACCTACTTATCTAACTGGCAGGATAGGGCAGGAAACTTGTCTCAAGCACAGGGTTCTGTAGAGGTGGGGAAAAGTGTTTGTGTGGAAGAACTTGGCATGTCTAATACCATAGGAAAAGAAGTATGGCACCTCTAGCCTGCCTATGCCTTCCTATGGTGCAGTAACACTTATGGAATTGACTGCTAAGGAGCCATGCAATCAAGTCAACTTCCTCGAGGACTCATAGCTTGCCCATCTGTCAAGAGTCAAGACACAGTGGAGAAGGACTTCACTGGATGTTAAAACTATGAAGGTAAACACATAATAACTATAGTGAGGACCAGGGGATATTTATTATATGATGGAATCTGAATAAGAGACTAACCATGTCAGACAAGTTCTTTAAGAAGAGTTTGGAGCACCGTTCTGCTCCATCTTTAATAAATGATGTTTAATTAAGGTGCTGTGTTAATCAATTAATTTGTGCTGAGCTCCTCACTATCATGATTTTCATTGTTCCAAGCACACTTTGTATTACGTTTACATTTATAAATTGTCTCTATAGAATTAAATGATTAAACAATGTTTCAATAAATGGTTAATCAACTGTTTTAGAGTAGAACACCTCAATGGGTTGCTAATAACCATTCATAATCCTTTCAAATAATGGGTTTATAATAATTTATAATACATACTATTCACATCTGTAACATGCTTAGAACATCTATTAATCTTTTAAGAATGCTTTATAGACTATTTATAAATGTAACCTTAATATACCATATAACCATTCTTCCTATATACAAAAGGGCCAGATTTTCAAGCAGAGGTCAATTTGGCTTCTCTTTCTGCCTTATAATTATGCCTCTTTTGTTCCCACACTTTTTTGTAGGCACAGCTAATAGTAGCTTTGATGTCTAACTACATGACTTATCAGCAAAAACAAGTAGTATGTTGTTAATTACCAAGAAATTGTCATGGGCACAAAACAGCAAGCCCAAATCACTAACAAATTAGATCCAGAAAGTGTGTACTACTATAATAGCTGAATGTGCAGAGGTATTCCTTTATTTATACATCTGCAGGCTTCTTTACTTAGTATGTATTGTTCAGTATTGGAGACAGCACTAAACTTATTTTTTTTTTAATTTCCCTTTGTCTTGTGACTGATTATTCACAGTTTCAAGAGATTATAACGAGGGGGCTTTTCACTATTAACATAACCATTAAAACAATACTGTTGAACATCTAATTTAGAAAACTTATGGAAATAACCATGTATTCTGCATAGCTTATACAAATAAATCAAATAATATTACTACTTAGCATCTGTATCATGTTTTCCATTCTCCATAGATCTTGGTGAATTACAAAGTAAGAAAACCATTATTATCTTTCCCCAGCTTCAGGCCCTCAGGCTTCATGCAGCCCAGGAGGCTTTCAGGTAGAGTGACCATCTATCCTGTTTTGGCCAGGACAGTCCCTTTTTTAAGCCCTGTTCCAGCCATCCTGATTTTTTTTGGCAAAATTGAGCATTTGTCCTATTTGTGCTTGCCAGACGATCATCAGCTGGCAAAAGCAAATTGGACAAATGCACAGTTTTGTCAAAAACGTTGGGTGCAACTGTAACGCTCACAGGGTGTGGAGGACAGACACATGGGGAGAAGTGAGCGGCAACACTGGCCCTTCACGGACAGGTGGATGAGCGGCAACGTTGCCCTTGCATGGGTGGGTGGCAGCGGGACTCCAACCAGCACTGTGCATGGAAAAGAGAGAGGGTCTCAGGCTGGTCCCAAATGGGCAAGTGGCAAGGAGGCTCAGGAAAGCCCCTAGCATAGAGGGAGGAGGCGGGGTCTTGGACTAGCACTATGGGATGTCCCGTTCTCCCTCTGGGAAAATATAGACACCCTACTTTGTGGGCTGAACAATCTAATGTGATTTCATGTGTATTTTCACGAGATAACAAAAATGCAAAATTATACCTTTTTACAGGATTATCATGGAAAAGCCAAACACTAAACTATACTGACTCAATTCATGGAGTGTGAAATTCATTTCCTGTAGGAAACCTAGTTCCTTTTTAAATTAGTATATTGCCACCTACTGGAACAAGGAGAAAAGCAATCAAAACCAGGAAATAAGGTGTAAATTTTTAATAGAGTAATTAACCATTGCAAAGGGATGTATCAGAAAGGGCTAAAAGTAATTCACTTATGTAAGGCTCAATCCAACAAACACTGACATAACTGAAAAGACTCCCACTGATTTCCCTGGAAGTCAGATCAGACCCTTAGGGTAGAAATAAGGACAAGCCATAAAGTAAGTGTCTGTTGAAAACTTTAACCTGGTGATGGGCAAACTAGGCTAGTGAATAGGCTAAGTTAGTGGCCCCTCATTTCAGTGGGCCACAAGATTTTTTAACTAAGACCATATTCTGAAATAGGGTAGTTTTTTTTAAACAGTCTCCATGCTTAATGAGATATCAGAAACCTTCACCATTATTTTCCTGGTTACTTCCTTTAGAAGAACATAGGGCCCGAATTTATCCGTACCTCTTAACACTTTGCCAACCTTTAATGAGGCTAATTGCTTAAGTGGACAAGCATAATCAATCGTTTTAACAGTGCATACTAGCCAGCTCAGTTTCTTGTCCCTGCTACAGCAATTTCCTCCACCCACACACCTGTCAACCATACTCAGAACATCACTGAATTGTTCACTTCTTTCTAGTCAGCTTTTTAATTTGTTTTAGTCACTTGCCTGCACTGTTTCATCACCCCCTGCTACACTTCACCAGCCGTTTGTGTCAGGCAGCAGTTCTTGTCTGTGGTTCAGCACCCAGATGTTCTCATTTACTTAACACAGAGGGGAGTAGATTAACTACCTCATTAAAGACAATTAATAACAGACTTACACATTTTCATTAAAAGGAGAGAGCCGCAGTAACTAACTGTATGCAGTGGGTTCCACTGCATGGAATGTGGCTACTATCATACATCTCCCAGGGGTAACAGTATTGCCAACTTCAAGCCTTTGAAAATTATGAGTTAGGTCTCAAAAAATTATGAGACTTTTAAAAAAAGGCATGTTGTTTCTCAAGTGCCTTTCTGTTTTTTTAATCTATGTGGAAGCCTTGTGTAACCTACACACCTACTGGGTGTGGTTCACTGTCCCACAGAGTGGCAGCGAGACCACTTACAGAGCGAAAGAATGAGTTTGCTCTACAGCACTTGCTGAGCGCCTGCTGGCTTTTAGCTCAAGCGGTAGACACTCTTGCACTAAGCTCCAGAGGTCCCAGGTTCAATTCTGCCTGTCCGCATTACACTTGTACCCTCCATTTGTATGTGACCATCTCAGGTTCAAAATTCAAGTTTAAATAGCTTCTAAAAATGCAGGTGTCCCTATTGCACCCTCAAAGAGAACTGTTCTTTCTTTCTTTCTTTCTTTCTTTCTTTCTTTCTTTCTTTCTTTCTTTCTTTCTTTATCTTCTGGGTATGTAGGGTTGCCAAGCCTACAACATTTTCCTGGTGTGTTCAGGAATTAATCTTTAGTTAAAGATAGGAATAGGTCCAACCATTACTGTCAAATTTGGTCTGCCATGCCACATTCCCCTGAAATCCCTTTAGACTGCCTGCCCCGCATTACCACATTCCCCTGCAGCCCTCAGCCTGTCTCCTGCTCCCCAACTTCCCCTGTAGCCCTCAGTCTGCTTCCTGCTCCTCACATTCCTCTGCATCTCCCTGGTCTGAAGGGAATATTGCCTAGTTCCTAACACATTCACCTTCCTGGATACAAATCAGACATCAGAAATGATAACATACATAAACTTGTTGGGGAAAATTTTAACCCGCCTGGTCACTAATCATGGATTTAAAAGTAGCCATTCTTCTACAAAGGAATTATACTAGCCAATTACAGAGAACGTGGAAATGGTATTCATCTGCAAATTTGACACTGTTACCCTGGGTTTGAACAAAAGACATTAACTGGATGTTCCACTATAAAGCCACTTTCCCCTATCTTTATAACAACCTAATTTTTCATAAAAAGACAAGAGTGGAATACTTTCAGCCCACTTAATTACCCTCATTAGCACTGGTCCTACAATTGACAGGTACTTTATTTTGCTGTTATATATCTTTTGGTTTCTGTTATTTTCATGCCAGCTCATCTGATGAAGTGGGTTTTACCCACAAACGCTCATGATACCATATATTTTTGTCAGCCACAGGAGTATTTATTGTTTCACTGAAATAAAATTTTTCACATGAACATTTTGGTTTTCACCAAATTATGTTTCAGGAAAATACCCTGGAATAAAGTGTACAAATGATGGCATTTCAACATTACCAGAGTGGACTGTTTTGATTTTTCATTTTGAAATTGTTTTTCTGTCAAATTTTTAATTAGCTATATTTATATTACTTGGAAATCAGAACTAAATTATTTGATTTTATCAAAATGGAACATATTAATGTATCTGGTTTGGAGCCAAAACAGATTTCAAAGCTCAACATTTTTCACGGAAGGGAAATTCCAGTTCCTCTCCACCTTTATGTGTATGCAGGTAAGAGGGGATGTATGAAACAAGGCAATATGTTTAATGGACAAGGGAGAGATTAGTTTGTTGAAGCTCTATCCATCATACAAACTCACTCAAAAATCCATATTCTGTTGGTACAACCAAAGAATTCAAATATTTTCAGGGAACCCAGAGTAAGGACTGGTTCTTTTTGGCATAATCTTGAGGGATAAAGGGTACACTGAACAACTGCCTGGTATTATTCAAGCTGAACTACCAGGCATAAAGCTCAAATCTCTCTGCTATTCTAACTGAGGATATCAAATTGCAAATACTATGCCAGCATTTCGGCAAGAATTTGTTCCTATTCATATGTAAGATTTGTTGGTAAGAACTACATGCTAGGATGCCTTTCCCTGGTGTACAGAATAAATGAACGAGGACAAAATACAGCGCTTCCAAAATGGACCCTGTCTCAAATGCATCTGTGTACATATCAAAGACTGAGTAAGGATCTTTATTTGCACACGGGGGGGGGCTTGTCAAAATCAAAAGCTTGTTGAAAATCCGGCCTGTGTTAGAACATCTGGAAAAATCTGTTCACCACCCACTGTCAAAAATGCAACTCCATTGGTTGTAACTGTACAGCAGAGAGCACCACAATGCCGATTGCTCTGCCATTCCCATAGTTGCTGCTAGTGGTGGCAATACAACGGCAGGAATTTCTAACAAAATTCTAGTATTGCAGAGAGAGTATTTTATTTTCTCTATCATGGGAGAGATTAACTTCTTGTCTCCTCAAGGCATTTTCTGAAGCTTATCTGTTCTGAGAAAAGCAGAGAGTGGAGTATGCCCAAGAGTCTAGAGTCTGACACAAAACTCCTGAATTTGTTCATTTACATCATGGATGTTGTAATTTGGCAAATTGTTTTGTGGGAGGCACTTAGCAAACTTCATCTTGGTATGGCACCCAACTCAAGAGATTTGTCTTTCTCCACTCAAAATTAATCTCAGATTAATGGGATTTAGGTATAACACGTTGGTATCAGAAACGTCTGAGTCTCTTTTTCTTCAGTCAAGGCTATTTGAATTTTCATTGTTTTCATATAGTAAATATTCCTGGGAAAATGGGTGTTCCCTTCAAGCCGTCACTTTTACATGAACTTAATGTTTTTCCATCCTATTTTGACCTCATGCTGCAATGTGCCAGGAATCTGACTAGTGTAAATAAACATTTAATTTCACTGCCCAGCTCCTATTTCTTAAACATCTAATTCAATTATATAAATCCAGTATGCAAGCTAACAATCATATTGCCATTATTAAAGTGCAGTTCTGCTCTGAAGAGTGATGCCATGGGGGATTAAAAATAGCCCCATGAGGTTCCATGTTTGTCATATCTTGACGGTTCCAGATCAGATTTGCTAATGAAAAGCTGTCTTTTTTTCTAACAGCCAGCTCTGCGAACTCAGCCTGGGCTCTGACAGAGAAACTATATACTTTTCAGCTTGTACATCTTCACCAGTAATACTTTGCAGACAAAATGCTGACTTCAGTGATGCATGTGCAAGTTCATCATCTTCAAATTATGCCCTCAGGTACACCTGTGCAACACAACTGCTTTCAGCAAGATTTCACAGGTGTATCTAGAGCAGTCATTCCCAACTTTTTCCCCATGGAGGAACCCCTAAAATAATTGTTCATATCCCGAGGAACCCCTACCTATGAAAACATTTGATCGGCCCGAAAAAGTTGACAGTAAGAGCGCAATTCAATTACTGCTAAACTATTGTCAAGAAAATGTATTTATAAAGAGCTGTTTTTTATATATATGTCAGCTTACATTGTAAGAATTTTTTATTTATTTATTTATTCCACGATTTCTCGCGGAACCCCTGACGATGGTCTGCGGAACCCTAGGGTTCCGCGGAACTCTGGTTGGGAAACACTGATCTAGAGCATAGTTTCAAGACCTTAACTATGGAGTGGTGAAATGAACACAGACGCTGTTAGACTGACTTAGACCCATGGTTCATCTAGCTCAGTATCGTGTCTCGGCTAGCAGCAGACCGCCTCAGTAGAAGTCGAAACAAATGATTTTGTATGCGGATGTGGGACAATTTCTTATGGAACACTCCCACACCAGCATCAATTTCCTGCACTCTACACTGGGAGCTGCAAGCACCCATAACTGTGGACACAAGGGTAAATAAAGCATCTGGTGGTCTGCCAGGGGCTAACCCTGGTAAACTGCGCACAGCCTATGGGCTGCTTATTGCCCTCCCCTATACTAGAAAATATGTTCCAAGGAGAAAGTCCAGGTTATATATCTTAACACACACACACAATTTCCTTCACTAAACAAGGACAATTCACCAGAGAAGTAGATTACACCATGGAATGAGCCACCCAAATACCCCCAAAAAACCCTGCTAAGAAACAAAAATAGCACCTCCTCTATCCGCCCTCATTGTCATCACCCCATATTGGAACCCCTACAAGGAATCAAACAGCTACAAATCATATCTGATGGAGACCCTCCTCCTAAAAGAAATCTTTCCTGAAGCTCTTCTTTTGGCCCTGAAACAAGCCCCAGCAAACTAGGGATGTGAAAGACTAGTCAACGATCCAATAAGCAATCTGATATCAGATAGAGGCAGCAAAGAGGAGAGAAGAGGGGGGTACTTCAAAGCAGCAGCGCCGCATGGAGCCTGGGGTCAGCTGCTCTGTGTGGTGCTGCCACTTTGAATGCCATGGGGAGCTCGGCATCAGGCTCCTCACCGCATTTCAAAGTGGCAGCGCCATGTGGCGCCTGGGATCAGCTGGGGATTCCCTAGCTGACCCTGGGCTCTGTGTGGCGCTGCGCTGTGAAAAGCTGCGTGGAGCCCTGGGTCAGCGGGGGAGTCCCCCGGTTAACACCGGACTTCAGCCCTAAGCTGTTGCTACACTTAAAAGGCAGAGGCGCCCTATCAACTAATCAAATAGTCAGTGCAAAAATGTGACCGTTCAATTAGTCAATTCACCAATACTTAACACCCTTACTGCAAACTCTCCAAGCCCATTATCTGAAAACAAGTTCCCATAGCCTTGGTGGATATATCAATTCAAAACAGAATGCCATCCTGCCAAAACAACAGATTCCCAACTTGCAGACAGCTCCACTGCTATAATGATCAACACCCCCCACAACAAACTTTTTGGGATCAATAGTCCTACACATACCTATTGCAACATGTGGTGTACCTCATCCACAGAGCCATCATGGGCCCCATGCTGACCCACGCCCTGGGCAAAGAAGTTGGGGGGGGATCAATAAAGGGCCACCTTGGCACCTGGGGAGCAGGGCATGAGGAAGGGCATGCAAGGGCTCCAACAGACAACAGGCCCCAATGCCTAGGGAGTTAGCCGGCATTTGCATATATTTACTTTAATGTGCATATATTTGCATAACAACATAGCAGGAACAGTCCCCCATAATGGGACAGTCCCCCACAATTAGTTTAGCATGGAGCGCCAAGGCAGCGAGGGGAGAGAGGAGAGACTGGCACGGGGCAGCAGGGGTTGGCTCCAGGAAGCGGAGCCATACCCCTCCATCTCCCAACCAGGTCACGCCACTTCATCATAGTGGTGGGAAGTGGCGTGACCTGGCTGAGAGATGGTGGTAGAGTGGAGCAGACTGCTTGGTCACTGTGGTTCCCACCGCCATTTAAATGCAGTGGCCCAATCCCTGCTGCTGCCCTGTGCCAACCTCCTCCCCCCATAACTCCCCTGGGTGGCAAAGCTTTGGGGAACAGGTACAATGGATGTGGGAGAGGGTGGAGCAGGGACAGGGAAGAAGCAGGGTGGTGGTGGTGCAGGGGCAGTTTGAGGGAAAGGGTGGAGTGAGGTTGGAGTAGGGGTAGGAAGCTAGCGCTGGTGCAGGAGAGGGGGAGGACTTCCCAAGGTCCTGTTTTCCCCTAGATATTTCCCCACTCATCCATGCAATAAATGCATCAATAGCTACCAAGGTGGACCCACCCAATCACTATGCTCTTGAATGTCCCCACATAAGATAATGATCACTCTGTCTCTGCTCTACCAGTCCTCATGGTCAAAGGACACCTGCATATTTTCAACAGACAAGCGGGGAGTTTAAATTCATTAATCTGCTGAATGCCAAAAACCACAGCCTGATCATAGAATCCCAGGCTGGAAGAGACCGCAGGAATCATTGAGTCCAATCCCCTGCCCAAAGCAGGGCCAATCCCAACTCAATCACCCCGGCCAGGGCTTTGTCAAGCTGGGACTTAAACACCTCTAGGGATGGAGGGATGTTTCCTAATCTCCCACCCTGATCCCCTCCGCGTGGCTTGTGACTGCACGCCACCTTGAATGGTCCCGTAGGATATGCGTGAACGCTACACTGTCTGTCCGTCCCCGCGTTTTGCCCTCGTCTCATCTTATACCTGACTCAGGCAGCCGTGGCTCTGAGGAAGAGACCGCGATCGGGGAGAATAAAATCCGCACCGGTGGGCCGCTCCGCGGTGGCACGTGGCCGAGGCCAGGGTGAGCGTCGAGGCTGCGCTCTGAGGAGACAGAGTTCTGCGTCAGTGTGTGCGCCCAGGCCCCGGGCCCACTCAGGGGGCCTGGCGCACTCAGCCTGCCCCTCGCCTGGGGGCAAGCGTGGGCCTGCTGGATGCTGGGGTGCCACGTTGCCACGGCTACGCTTCATGGCAGCCCCCAGGCACGTTTGGTGCGTTTTCCAGAGCCCCCCACTCCCCCATGGCACAGGAGCTGGGGGGGGTCAATAAAGGGCCCCCCACGCCTGAGCAGCAGGGCACGCGGGGGCCCCAGCAGACACCAGGCCCCACCGCTGGCTGGCGTGTAGGCCCGGGAATCGGCCTGCGTTTGCATATATGTATTTTCATTTGCATATATTTACATGCTGACCTAGCAGGGGCTGGATCCCTGAGGGACGTGCATTTGCACGCTGGCTCCCCGGGCCCCGGGCCCCCCCTCCGCCCCCC